TGGGGTATGTCTTATTTCTGTTTATTAATAATAAATGCCTGCCTGCTAGTACTCAAGTTACAGGTCTCAAAGTCCCTCACAAAGGTCTTTTTCCCCCAGTCCACATATGAAGAAGCCAAGGCACAAAAATGGAATGAGACTAACATGAGATCACCCAGAAGACAGGTGCACCATCCACTGGGCCATACTGTATACTGTGTGCAAGTGGCCTCCAAATTTATAGTAGTAGATGCATTGTTTTTAATAATAAATACCAACAGCTGGACTATTTTTATGCAGGGAATCTCTCCAGCTTTGTTACGGTATGGTAGAGGAGAACTGGTCATTTAATCTTCTAGAGCTCAGCTTTAGTCTGTCTCGCAAGCAGAACTCAGGAGTATTGTTGGGAATGAACAAAGCCTGTACAGGTATATGTGGCTTAGGTGGTTAAGGTGCCCGATTAGTAAACAGGACAACCTGGATTCAAGTTCTTTTTACTTTTTGGGTTACTAAATTTCCAGGTCCAAAAAAGAGGACACCTGTGTGCGGGGGGGAAATATGATGGGGGGGCAGTGACGTGCCAGTGCCTGCCCCTGCCCATTCTGTTGTCCCTCACTGACAAGCCACATCCCCCACCAGCCCTGCTGCTGCCCCTCACTCCCGACCCACTGACCCCAGCCCTGCCCGTGCCCCTCACTCCCAAACAGCTGTACCCTGCCCCCCAACCCCTCAATGGTACCCCTCACTCCTGACCTGCAGCCCCCTGGTGCTACCAGTGCCATGCACACCCAACCCACAGTCATCCATTTCGTCCCATGCCCCTCACTCCTGACCCACAGCCCCTGCCCCCCAGCCCTGCCAATGCCCCTCACTCCCAACCCACAACCCCTACCCAACCAACAGCCCCCACCCTGCCAGTCATGTCACAGTGTCCCTATTCCTGTCTGCTCCCAACCCAATCAGGCAATGCCCAGTCTGGGCTCCAGGTCCCTGGGCTCAGACCTGGGCTCCGGTAATCACGCCTCAAGGGTGAAAATATGCAGGGGGCAGCTGGCTGCTTCTCCTGCAGCTGGGGGAAGACCCAGTGAGTGCAAAATCATGTGCTTTAGTGAGGAAGTGCAACTGAGACAGAGGGAGTGCACAGGGAAAGGGGAGACATGGCTGTGAGTGACAGAGACCAGCATCCAGAGGCTGTTGGGGGCAGAATGGGTGCCAGCACCAGGAGCAGGTCACACCTGTATGCACACACACATGCACACAATTTCTCTCTCCCCTGGCTTGCAGAAGCTCGGATGGGGAACACATGACCCCTGACAGTCAATCACCTTGCTCACTGCTCCCAGCCCAAAGCAGCCAACCCAGGACAGCATAAAACCTGGACATTTGCTCTTATTTAGAAACCTGCCCAGATGCAGCCCAGGGGGCCAAAAAAGAGGACACATCCAGGGAAACCCGGGTGTATGGTAACCCTACTTTCGCCTTACTGGAGAGGGTAGGACACAAAGCAATGGCTTTCAGTTGAAGCACGGTAGATTTAGATCAGCTGTGCAGGAAAGCTGTGGGATCCCTTTCACCTGAAGGCTTTCAAGAGACAGTGGAAGAAGCAGGCTAGGGATGATTTAGGAATTGCATTGAGGCAGGGATTGGGCCAAATAACCCTTGAGGTCACTTCTGATTGTATAAGAGATGTAGAAAGAAGAAAAGGATTCTGTCCAGAGGACACCTATTATTTTTTATTATTGCAATCCCTTTGGAGGATGCATAATTCTCAAGCCTATTTCATAATAACATAAGAATTGATATTTACTGGGTCAGACCATAGGCTCGTCTTGCCCAATATGCTGTGTCATACAGTGGCAGAGAACAGGGAACGAAAAGGAGAATGACCTGGGTATGACAAGGTGTAAGAGGGGTATGGGGTTCTCCTGTACGGGCAGCCTGTCTCACACTCACCTACCACATCTTGATGTCTTTACTTGTTGGACGAATATATTGTGGGAGGCTGCCTTATGCCCACGGCCCTGGTTTGGGGGTCTAAGTAGATGGCTCCACTATCCCCTACACCATGTCGGTCTCCACCCTGTAATCTTAACAACGCTTGGTCAGTCAGTAGATCTTTTCATTAGGGCTTGTGAGGATCTCGATTGCCCTTGGGAACTAGATGTTCAGCCAAAGATGATTATGAGTCTCCACAGCTTGTTCCCTGCCTTTATTAAACTGCCAATGGAGGTAGTGTGCTAAAATAAAGAGTTGTCATCATTCATCATAATATTAAACCAAAGCAGCCATATACCATGAGGGGTTGGTATCCTTCCCTCCCCCAATCTTCCTCTTTCTGGGTTTCCCCCTTTGGAGGAGAGCTCTTTTGGCCTCACTTACAATGTCATGAAATCCCTTAGAGATAGTCGGGGCGGTCATATGCTGCAAAATCCCTGGGCACACTCAGCCACTAGGTGATTCCTCCCTCCAGTGGGGTTACCATCTCTTCGGGGTGCCCTTCCCTGTTGTTCTTGTTCACAACAGGAGTACGGCCCCACTTCTGATGGCTATTGGCCCACCACTTTATCTAAGGTTACTGCCCCTCGCAGGTACTGTCTTACCCCAGCCGGGGTTCCTATAAACTGGACCACA